TAATATCTAAATACCTTATTTTAAGAGTAAATATACTCATTCCATTGGCAAATCATGTTATTTACCTGCTCAAATTAAGGGTAAATACTCTTAATTTAAGACATTTTTACTCATTTTGAGATCATTTTTGCAGTGAGCCATGATGGAAGTAGGTTTACTGATGGCATGTTGACGTTTGGTCAATTATCTTAAACTAAATGGTTGTTTTTCATCATTTCTATCAAATTCTACTGAAGAATCTGTTTGAGGAGGGGCCTACATGTTAGATCAGAATGTTATTACCTGGTTTCTGGAGAAAGAAACTCAGTTAGAAAACCTGAAATAGACCAACCAGCAGTACAAGGAAGACTTTGCTATTTCTCAGATGTCTGACTAAAGAAAACAACTTCCAGAGTCTGTCTTCCTTGTTGTTTCAAACGCGGAGGCTGTTGAGTTCTTTAGATTTTTGAGAAGGGAGGTTCAGTGAAGTAATGGTTCTGTTATCTGTAGCAAAAGACGAGTTTGCAGAAAAAAAGGGGAGAAATCATCAAAGCAGAGGAAAGCTGACAGCAGATAAACTGATTTAGATTTTATACATTTAAAATGTTGATATCTTTGTCAATATATATATATATATATCCATCTGCACATGTGACTGTAAGCTTATAATATATATATATAGTTTCACTAAATGGTTCTGAGCTGCTTTGCAAACAAAATCCAGCATCAGAGGTTAAAACCTTCTAAGAAGTTAATCACCCAAGTTTGTGAAGTAAAACTGGTTTTCTAGTTAGAGAAAACACTCGCTAACTTATTAACATCTTTATATAACCCAGATGGTTAAAATCCACCATGGAATAGCAGGTCTGTTAATCTCCACTTTAAGTTGATTTAATTAGCTAAAAGCAGTTAAAATGTTGTTCTGTCTGAATAGCTTTTAGCTCCCATTGGCTCTGAGGGTTTCATTGCTTTTTTTAAAGTCACAGAAACATGACATATTTGAGCGAAGGAAATTGAATCAAAATCCAACCTGTTTAATGTGTGAATCACCCAAACAGGTGTGATTGTATAAACATATTGCAGGTGAGCACACCTTTCATTAATGCGCTGTGCTTCCTCACAGGGACGGCTTCTCCTGTGTTGCATAACCTCACTGAGATTGGATCTAACACGCCCATAGAGCTGCTCGTGGTTCCGCCTCCACCACCCAGACGGGTCCTACCAGACCCTGAGACTCTGGGTCCTGCTCCACAGAAACCTGACAGACCTCCTTCTGTCAACTTGAGTGAATTCACTCCCCCTTCCCCACTTATTGCTGAAGGTAATGTCACATCCACCAACATAGGCCTGAGAAATCAGCAGTGTTGGGCACGTTACTTTGAAAAAGTAATTAGTTATAGTTACTAGTTACTTCT